CCTAGCCTAGCGCCATGGTTTGTTAGTAACGTTTTTGCTAACGAATCTCGTCCGTGTGTACGTGACGGTTCCAATTGAATTGAACATTATTTCACGGAAACAAGCGACCAGATAGATTCTTCACTGTCGATTGAAAGAGAATCGTTAAAAATTGTGTCTCAAAGCTTCATTTCATTTCAATAAAATTTTTAAATTTTATTAAAAATTTTATTAAAAATTTTATTAAAATTTTTTATTAAAATATAAAATTTTTAAATTTTATTAAAAATTTTATTAAAAAAAAGAATAAAAGATTTTGAGATAAAATTCTCAGTAAATGTGTATACTTTTTAATTAATACTGATAATAAATATAAAACTTTTTATTATTTTAATATACATACATGTATAATTACTTTTTTTTAATTTTTAAACTAAATAATTTTAATTGCTACAGAAGTGTATTATTTTTATATAAATGCAATCACAAATGTAATATATATTTGACATGCGTAAAGCAATGCAATTATATATTTGCTATATGAAGTAAGCTCATTGATGTTAACAGATATTCCGTTAATAAATAGTTATTCAGAATAACTGTTATCCCAATTTATTACAGATAATATCAATGTTTAATCACAATAATGATAGTTAATCTGTAAAGATACTGTATAAATAAAAATAAAAAATATATATGTTTGCATATTTAAAGTTGCATATTTAAAAATTTAATATTTTTATTAAATTTAAAATTAAGTTTAAAAAATAAAAATTGTCATAATAACAACAACTTTTTAGTTAATATATGGCTTTGTATTCAGAAACAAGTGTTTACATTAATATAAACACCAAAATTTAAAAAGTGCAATTTATATGTAATTAAGGAGAATATGAAATATAGATATATAAAAATAAAAATAAAATTTTACGTAAAAGTTACTAGCACGAGGTGTTTTCTATATACTATTAACTCCTACGTCTATAACACCGAGCAAAATTTTTTATGAATATTTAAAATTAAACAATTTTATTTTCCATTTGTTATGTAAATTGAAAAATTAACTTAAAGCGAAAAGATACATAAAATTAATAAGAATTATACATTAAAAATATAATTTTTTAATAAAGATTTAAATTTGTTATATGTGATAAAAATTCTCAGTAAAGAATAAATCTTCTACGAGAAATATGTGATAATTTTATCCTTTCGGAGAAAGATAAACAAAAAAAGATTCAATTCATATACCGATATTAAAAATATTAATAAAACGTAACAATAAATTCTATAACAATAAATTTAAATTTGTCAGATAAATCAGAAAACTAAAACTCCAGTCAGTTTCATTTAATCTAACTTATTTTGTGTTTACTTATATTAATAGAACAGATTTCAGAAGCGTTACAAGATAATTATGGGTTAAAAATATATCGGTTTTATAAAAATTGTATAGAAAGAATCTAGCTATCTGTTAAACTTCGTGAAACTGATCGGTAGTTAAATCTGCAGGTATGATAACGCATGGCATGCAAACAATAACGCTTATCATTACATATTACATTTATAGCACAAACGTCAAACGTTCGTTTGCCTTAGATAATAAACCTTTTGAAGAAAAGATTATGGCTTCAGTTAATTTAATTATATTTATTCAATGATAAAAATGACAAGTTTCTCTCTCTCTCTCTCTCTTCT